CATGTCTTATAAAATAAGCCCTTTATCCCTCTGCCCGTTTTCTCTAGATGAACACAGAATAGGGAAATAAGTAATTTCTGGAAGTCACTCTCACTTCCTGGTTTGATCCTATGGTAAAAGTAAAATTATTAAGAGGAACAGGCCAGTTTCTTTTCTTCAGATAATTTCTCCAAACTACTATTTCTCAAAATCAAGCTTTGAAAAATCTTGCATTGCTGATAAATTCCTTGCAATTTCAGGGACAAGTTTGAAACCTGAATTATTACCTGATGATTTAAAGAAGGTTCCTCTCCTTTGGTAGCTTGCTAGAGAACCAGAGTCAATTTGTCTGACAAAAACAAATCTGCCCAGCACATGCAGGGAATACGCTCCACCTGGCCCAGGCATCTAGAAGGCCTTTATTATCCCCAGGTTTAGCAGCAGTTGACTCATCAAAATGTTGCCATTTTCTTCCCGTTTTAAGCTCCTAGTCTGTGTTGGTGAAATACGCTTTTTAGAAGACTTTCTGCAGACCCACATGTCCTCTTCTAAAACAAGCAAGCAGGCAAGGGGAAATGTTTTCAGTATGTAACTGCAGTGACTCAGCAGAATGTAATGTGCATCTCAGGCAAATCCAGGGGAATTCTCACCAGAAAGCCAAAGAGACATAGTCTTTCGTGTATACCTATACACCCCTCATCCTTCCTTAGCTGGGGAATTGGTGTCTGGTTTTGAGTAAAAGAGAAATAAACAGCCGGGCGTGGTTGCACACGGCTTTAATCCCAGCACTTGAGAGGCAGAGGCAGGAGGATCTCTGTGAGTTCAAGGCCAGCCTGGTCTATATAGTGAGTTCCAGGACAGGTCCATAAGAAAAAATAGAACGTGGACAAGGGAAGTTTTATGAGATCTGTGGACATTCATCATGTTCGGCAGTACCCAACAGAACAGCAAACTCAAAGAGTAGTGATCTTCATGATCGGAGACCACGTCCTCTTAAGGTTCTGCCATACATATCGGATAGTTCTGGCTTGCTAGTTAGGTTAAAATGGAAATGTATGGATAGGAAAGGAGGAGAAAGAAAGGAGGGAGTGAGGGGAGGGGGAGGGAGGGAGAGAGGGAGAGAGGGAGAGAACGAGAGAGAGAGAACACAGAACCAGGTGCCTAGAGAAGGTGTGGTGTTACCTTCTCTGGGATCTGCAAGATAGAGATGTCAAGTTCCTTGGATGTTACACTCAAGAGATTGTTGAAGCTTTGACAAAGATTTTCTGGTGTCTCACAAACCCACGTCTGGTTCCCAGAAGCACTCCCAACAAGCTTCCTAAAGCACATGCCCCAAGAACAAAGAGAAGGAAATCTGTTTCTCCTATAGTTAGTGAGGAGCGTGAAGCTTGTATTTTAAATGTCTATTTGTTTACAGATTTGGTTAGAAAACCTGAGAACTGAAATCTTGAGAGAATCTCTCAGCTAGCTAGTAAAAAGAAACAGGTCTCACATGTTTTTCTCTTCCAAGACTTTAGTTGACTTTACTATAGGAGAGAAGGAGTCTGACAATTTGGGGGTCTTTCTTCAAAGTTTCTCAACAGATTAAATTTAAACTTTGCATTGCAGTGAGTTGTAAAGTTGAGCGGCTATCAGGCACTAGAAAGGTAGCTGGGATTACCAGATACAGACCTGCAGTACCAGTCCTGCAAATTTTCAGGACGCCTCTGTTCTGGCATGGACTAATTTCAAAAACAACAAAGAAAGCAGAAAGGTCAGGGTTAATAGCTGTTGAAATTCAGATCTTTTAGCTACCAGGAGGTTTTGAACCCAGATGCAACACTGCGCTTGTCTTAGTTTGTTTCTTCATTACTGTGACAAAACACTCTGACCAGTACCAACTTGGGGAGGAAAGGGTTTATTTGTCTTACATCTCCCAGGTTGCATGCAGTTCATCAGGGAGCCCAAGGTAAGGAACTCAGGGCAGGAACCTGGAAGCAGGAGCTGGAGCACAGGCCATGGAGGAATGCTGCTTACTGGCTTGCTCCCTGGGCTCCTGCTCAGCCTGCTTTCTTATGCAACACAGGCCCACCTGCCCAGGGGTAGCACCACCCACAGTGGGCTGGGCCCTCCCACATCACTCATCAAGAAGATGCCCTTCAGACATGGCCACAGGCCAGTCCAATAGAGGCAATTCCCCGACTGAGGCTCCCTCAACCCAGGTGTGTCAAGTTGACACTAAAGCTATCCAGCACAGCACTTCTAGTCCATTATACACCTGCATTCTCTCCCGTGCTTCCTTTACAGAACCTTAAATAGAGAATCTTTAGAGTTTTTGCCTTAAGGATAATAAATTATGATGATAGGTCTCGTGTTTATTATAGTTTTATACCTATGCAAGATATTCTTATAATCTTATGGAAGAAAATGATTTATTATTAGTATGCATGCATTTCTTAGAAGTGGCGTGGGTTCTGGATATGTGAACTCTGGTTTCACGTTTGCATGAAAATACTCAGGTCGCCTTTCATTTTGCAGGAAAATGTGTGTATGTTCGCCTTTGCATTAAAAGAGAATGAAAACCAATTTGCACAGCACATTCTTTTAAAATATGCTTTCCAAGTACTTACGGAGCAGTGGGAAGATGTAGGAAATGACAGATTTTTTATTAGCAAATGATGCTAGGTTTGAATTTGGCTCTGCTGTTAGGGCCCCGTGATCCCTCATCATAACATGGGGACAATAAAGCCCGCCTCTCTGTGGTTCCATTCCATGGTGTTTTTCCCCATGGCCCACGTGAAACAGATATGGCATGTGTGGCAGAGGCAAAGACCTATCAGTTCCCTTTTGGGTCTCTCAGTGTTCCTGGATAACACCTCTTGGAACAAAGTTGGGACTTGAGGTACGCCAGGGACTCCAGAAAAGCAGATAACTTGTGATTTAGCATCATGTACTTGAGTGTTAGACACGAGCTCAATAAAAAAATGCATTCTTTAATATTGGCTTAAAGTTTTACAGGGCTGCATTCACTTATTAACCAAAGTTAGTTTAGAGAAAAAGAATTGGAGTTTGATTCTCTTCAGAATTATGACTTTTCAGAGTGTCTTAAGTTCTTTCTTACATTTTATTAAAACCCAAATGAGTTGCCAAGTTCAGTTGTCAATGAAATACCAGGCCTTAGCTGCCAGAGTTCCAGTTCAGAGATAAGGATGTTTTATTGATTTATTTAATGTCTTCATCTTTCTCAAGTCCTTACTTTGCCCTCCCTGTAATTTAGTTCTTTAACTCTACTGAGGTTGGCATAGGAAAGTCAGAGCTTCAGGATATATCTAGAATGGTAGTGTGCCTATAGCTTTGCCAGCAAGATGCTGAATTGTGGTGCCAAACATGGTTTCCTCCTCCCACTGAGATCAGAAAGTGTTGAGAAAGGGTGCGGAGAGTGAGGGCGAGCTGCTCATCTATATCCACCTGAGTTAGTAATTCATAATGCTAAAGCATGTGGGATTTGAAGGGGGAAGAGAGGGAGCATGGAGTAGATTGTATTTTCTTTAATGTAAACACGCACACGCGGACACGCACGCACACCCTCTGATGATAGAGCTTTTACCACCCCATAAGCCAAAATCAGTATTTGCTCTGCTGTGGCTGTGGCAGAATAACTCATGAAAACAAAAAAGAGAAAACACTGATCAAACCAAGATTGAATGTGGAATACCGTGGCCTTGCGTGTGATACTTAATGCTCTTGGACCTTAATTTTACTCTCTGTAAAATGGGTTCAAAGTGTTATGGTTTGAAGGTCTGAACTGATGTATAAGCAGTATTTAGCATAGAAAAGTCATAACATCTAATAAATGATAGTCAAATGATGATTTTTAAAAATCATTTATAATATTTATTATATGTTGGCACTTCAGGAAAATAAAATTCAGAGTCGTTTGTAATTGTTAGAAAAATGAAGGAGCTATAATTTGGTCATTTCCTTCCCTCATTAGATCTCAAGATTCAAAGAACCTCAGACATTGAAAGCTCAGTTCACGCATTTCATAAATAATGGTTGGCTGTGGAGAGAGCAGGCCATGCAGCAAGGAGCTAACCCAGTGATGTTAGGACCTTTGCCCTCTAACTGTCCTCTAGTCTAATGAATACAGTCTGTTCTAAGTGGTGTAGAAGATCTGCGGATACTTCCCAATGCTGATGAGCGGGTCGGCCACACCCTACTAGATCTCCTTTCAGCCTCTCTTAATCCTTGTACATAGGCCATTCCCCTTCCAGGCCACATGTCTCTCAGAACTGGCCCCATGAACTGGCCTAAGGCAAAGCAGAAAGAGTTGCTTATGAAAAAGCAACCAGTACCCTTTATTCTCCATTAGCCAGGTAGGAATGTTACATACGCAGCCATGAGTTAGCACCTGGAAACAGAAAGCTCTGCTCATTTCTCCTGCCGTCATGGTACACAGTGCTCTGTGATGAATGTTTTAGAAGTACATTTCTCTTCCCGTTTCATCTGTTTTATGTTTTCTTTGGTCCACTTTGCCTTCATAGCTGCAAATACCCATCTTAATTTAGTTAAGTTTATCTTATCGTATCTGTTCCAGAAAGTCTCCCTATATCAATTAGGAACAGACAGAAAGTGAGCAAACAGAGAAATCATTAGACTCACTCCTCTACTACACAGTAACATTATGAAGCCAAGAAAATCAATATAGAAAGAAGAAGCAAGAGACTCTGCTGTATGCGATGGTGCATTTTATAAAGCTGGACTTTAAGTGAAGAAGGTAAAGGTTCACTTTACCTTCTTGCTTTAGATGTTATTTTAGGGAATGATGCACTCAATGCTATGGGAACTAAAAAGCAACAATCAAGACACGGAAGGGAGGGGCTGTGGGTGGGTTGCACAAGTGCCGCTCCTAGACTTACCAGCCCCGCAAAGCAATTGCTGGGAGACCAGAGCGATCTGCTGAGCCCTCCACGTTCACGTGATTGTCACCTGTGTTTTTCTACGTGTCCTCATCTTCACCAACCTATTGTCTTATTTTGCAGTGACGAAGCTGGCGCAGAAGTGAAGACAGGCTACTGAAGACTTTGGAATGCCGGTGCTTACTTTTGCTAGATTTGACTCATTTTGCTCTCCTTATGATTGCTTCGTGTATGAACTGCAATGTAGCAGAAGCAGCTAAAAAGAATTGTTGAGGCCACAGCATCACAGTGCTCTACTAAACTCAGAACCGGAGTGATTTACCAATAGCTTCTCACACAACTGTTCAAGCCTTTAATGCCTCCTGTTGTGCTGTCAGCAATACTAACATTCCCCTGTACTCAGCAGCCAAATAAAGAATTATAGGTATGTACAAGAATGGCTGTGGCTATTTTTTCAATGCTAGTTTTATTTAATGCCTACATTACTAACTGAATCAAGTTTTAGCTTTCTTCATGTTCTACATATTAAAAAAAAAAAAGAGCGCATTTCTGAAGGAGTCTCTATCTCTGCCTGCTTTCAGAGGATGCTGACTTTTAAGGGTCCGTTATGAAAACTGCACACAAGAAAAGGCATGCTCCTTTCCCAAACTGTTGGCGTTCTGTGATGGTGTCCCAGGGAAAGCCCAGGGGTGATGTCCAGCATGTTGAGCAGCCATTTCTCTGCTACGGCAGTTTTGTTCTTGTGAGAGCTACTGTACCATTGTTGGCTTGTTCTCCAGCAAACCCACATGTGATGGCAGTCAAGGGGCCCAGCAGAGTCACCCCTGCTGCTGGCCATATTGGCTGTGCTCCATTTATTTCCCAGTTACCACCACTGCAACTGATGGTGTCCTCTAGCATTTCCTGCTTCTGCCCACCTGGGAAGGTCAAGGCAATGCCCACTAAGGAAGAGAGGGACAGCGAGGGACCTTTGTGAAGCCTGTTTTCCTTGCCTTGGCATGAAGCTCGTCCTTCCTTAGAGCCATGTTAGAGTCACTGCTTCTTCCTCCCACTGCTTCATCAGCCCAGCCACCCCACTCAGGAGAGTTTCCTATAGGGGAGCAACTGAGATCCTTCATTCTCCAGCAGCCATTGTAGAATGTTCCATTATCAACCATCAGCTGGCACCTGGACATATAAAATTCTCTTAATCTCTAGTGGAGTTAGAAATACAGAAGAGCCTTGGTAAAGCTCTCTGCTCATCTGTCCTCCCGAAACAACTACTTCTCCACACAGCTGCTAAATTGGTCCCTAACATTCACCGTACTCTTGTTATATACCAGTCAGCGTAACAAGTAGTTTAGATGAATTAGCTTTAACCTTCACAATAATCTTTTCAGGCAGATAACATTATCCTCCATATTTTATGTATGCAAAGGTATATGTATCCAAATAGTTAAATCAAACTAGTAAATGGTAGGGGCATAAATCTAGGTACTTGGATTCTAAGACCAACCCATTTATTTAATTATTTACTTCCTTCCTTAATTATTTTATTTACTTCCTTCCTTCATTTATTCAGTTGCTGAGCTGATGATACTCCAAGGCCATGGCCAGTTGTTAAAAATTTTGGCAAACCCCCTCTTGTATATAATTATTAATTGATGAAATTTATTTATAATTTCTGCTTTTCCCTTGTAGGAGATTAACATTCTTATGTTTTTAAAGCTTATTTTTTGCTTTATGTATGCTTTGAAGATACGCATTGTTTTGCTGGCATAGAAATCTAATAAATTTAGGTGGTATGCTTACATTGTTTCCAACATTGTTGTCACCAATGGGCCCACTCATTTTTCTTCCCACCAGAAGTGTACTGGGGCTTGTAGACCATCATCTTTGGACTTCTGTGAAGGCACTCTTAATGTGAAGGATTGTTTGAATGTGGTATCCTATTCATCTTAAGTTTCCAAAGGCCTGTGTTAATGATTTTATTTTGTTATGACCACATATCTGACATAAATCACTTATTTTAGCTCATACTTTCAGAGGCTTCAGGCCGCAGTAGCAATGATTCTCCGCACATAGCAAGTCAGAGGCTCCTGACAGCTGGGTGATACAGAGTCAGGGAATCTGTTCACCTCCTGAGGCAGGAAGAAAAGAGAAAGGAAGGGTGATGTAAGCGGAAAAGGGTATCCCCAGTGTGCCTTCATTTAGGAGGCTTCAGCTCCTCAAATTTCCAGAATCTCCAAAAGCAGTGCCAGCAGTTGAGGACCAAAAATTCAACATATGAGCCCAGAGGAAACAGTCCATGTTCAAAAAGTACATGTTTATACCCTTTAATTAATTTTGGTTGTCAACCGAATATTGTTGTTGAGCCGCCAAATTAGTAAATGATAAATCTATCATGAGACTGTTTGATTCTTGTATTACTTCTACATGTGATGAACATCATGCCCTATTGTAATGTTCAGCATCTCAGCAAAGATGAGCATCTTAGCAATGTGAAGACAGAGGGGCAAATGTTGGTTTTAGGGAGACCATGAAGCATGGGGAGTTGGCTGCTTTTTTAGGTTTGTGGTGTAGAATCTGTTGTCCAAGGACGCTAGAGTTCAATGGATATTTCTGTTAAGATGAAGAAAGAGATGGAAAACACAACATGGGATGGATAGACATGAAGCTGCATCTCTATGTGGGTTACCCAGGAAGTTGACTGTAAGACAAATTTTTAGAGTAGTTTATTTTTGGAGGTGACTACCAGAAAATATAGATAAGGGAGTGAAGAAGTGAGCTAGGAAAGAAAGCAATAAATGAAGTATTCATTATAAAGCTACTTATCAAAATGGGCAACTGGAGCTCGTTCCACCATGGAACAGGATATTGCATGAACATGTTAGAATTAATTCAAATTAGAGGAAAGGAAACGAGAGTAGTTACTGTAAAGTGTGAGTGCTAATGTTGACACAGCTATGACTTCCCTGTTTGTAAAGCTTTTCCGACATTTCATTGTTGTGTCCTAGAGGACTCGTCTGTCGAGTCATAATGTTATTTGTTAAATTTTCTGAAGTAAAGAACAAGAAGGAATAAACGAAAGCTTAAGCAACCAGGAAATGTGCTCAGTCTATCACCGAGTGGGCCAGCAGAAATTCCGTGGGTGGCCAAGGGAGCAGCAGCAAAATCTCCTGTGGGTTTCCACATTTGGAAGCATTTTCTATTGGAAATTAAGTCAATGGTGTGAGAGAATAACTTTATAAAAAAGAAAGTTTGTTTGGCTTAGATTAAACCCAAAGGACTTAGAATTATAAACTAGGAATTAGAAAATATTTCTCAATTAGATTTAAATACCTAATTTGGAGACTTTTTTCGTATTTTCCGCAGTATGCTGTAACATTAACTGTTCCATTGTTCAAGAGCTTTCGATGCACAGTTTGTTTGATTGGAATAGAATTTTTTTATCTTTTAGTGAGAAAACTTCGATAAATGTGCAATGAAGGTTTGATGTGGCCCTTTTTCTACTTTGTACAACTGCTCAGTATCACTGACATACCTGAGCCTAGATTTTTCCTTCGCTGAAATCTCTTGGGTTAAGTATTTTAAAATGATGCCACGTAATAGGCAAAGGAAACTTCATGAACAATTAAAAAATAAAATGAACAAAACAAAGGCAGAGTTTTCCAGGGAGCTACAGATTGCAAGTCAGAACTATGAACAGAATTTCTACAGCAAAAGCAGCAATAAACAAGCTACAGAGGAAAAGAAGTTCCTGTGTAGCATTTAGTCTAAAGCGTGTTTGGCCAAAGAATCCACAGAAAAGAGAAGTTTTCATGTAATAACATACAGAAGGCTGGAAATGATTTCTCACAAGGCTTGGGAAGGCGTTTCAAATTCCAGCTGAGTCAAATCATTAAGGAAAGTAGGAAGGCCAGAAATATTTGCAAATCACACTTTTGGGTCACCGTTCAAGTTCTTTTCTAAATTAATACTGCATTTGATAAAAAGAGTGCAAATTGTGGAAAATTAAACAATTTCTATTTTGTTTTTTCTTTTGCTCTTTTTGAGACAGGGTCTCCTTGTAGCCTCAGCTGGCCTGGAACTCACTATGCAGACCAAACTGGCCTTGATCTCACAGAGACCCTCCTGCCTCTGCCTCCCATGTGCTGCGATTAAAGTCATGCACCACTATGACTGGCTCAGATTCTGTTTCTTAATAAATATATAGTTAATGAAAAAATTTTAATTAAGACACATTAGAGAAAAATGTGGATTTCAAAGCTTTGGGAGAGATGGTTCAGTGTGTTAAACACCTGCTCTATAAGCATGAAGGCCTTACTGAGATCTGGGATCACTTGTACTCTGAGCCCCCTGGCACATGCATATGTATGTGCACTGACACACACACACACACACACACACAGACACTCTAAGATACACAGACACACACACACAGATGCACAGATACATATTCACACAGACACATAGACACAGACACACACAGACACATAGAGACACATAAACACATACAGGCATACAGACCCACAGACATACATACAGATACTTATAGACATACACAACAAAGAGACAAATAATAAAGACTGTGTGGTAGGCCACGGTCTGAATTTTCTTAAGCCAGTCCTGGTTATAAACATATTAAATAGGTTCAACAGAACTTGGGAGAGTACAGGGTAAAGAATTCAGCTTTTGTCAGTTATAATAAACTAAATGGTAATGCAAAGAAAAAGGCTTCTCTGTCCCAAGATAATGAGATTTTCCTAAGAAGGAGAAAATTAAAATAGGCCTTCCTCTGGGATCTCAGTCTTGTCACTAGTCACAGATTTTGCTCACATTATTGGCCCAGTAGTATTGAACATGGAGATTAACTCCCAGTGCTAGGTAGGATACAGTGGTTCTGGGCTGACTTTTGGTATTCCCTGCTTCAGAGTTATCCTTACAAGTCCTTTTTTTCCATTTTCTCCTGCCACAGGTTCTTCTGTAAAAGCATATTATCAGTAGTTATTAAATAGAGATCATGAAAGCTATAGCCTGTCCACCAGCTGAGGCAGCTTCAAGCTTTTTACTTCTCAGGTTAATAGTTCACGTCTCCACTTGTGCTGTCTGCAGGAAAACTGAGTGGTCACATCTTGACATTGTACTCAGGTTTCCTTGGCACAAAGTCTCTCTGGAAGATGAAACAGTCCTTTGAGAACTACATTCTTCCTCAGCCCATCTTGATGGACACTATACAACTCAAGCAATTCTTATCAAATTGATAAAAATGCTTCAAGTTAATATGTCCCTTCATCTATGTACACAGTTCTGATTTTTGCTTTCTGTTAAAAATTCTTCCTTGACACTCTATCCTGGTGGAGGAGGCTTTATAGAGTAGGTTTCCAGGTGTCCTTCAAACGTCTCTCCATGTTTATGCTTCACT